ATAGTGGCTTTCTGATTTTGGTAGACCATTGAAGAAGGGAGTTTGAAAGTTGTTGTATACTGTTAATGATTGTCTGCCCATGTCCTGCCTGAAATACCATGATTGTTTATGAAAAGTATCTTTAATAAAGCTGGATACAGTTTGGCTTGGAAAAAAAAAAAAAGAAAATAGTAACAAATATGGTAAATATTAATCCAGCTATATCAATAATTACACTTTGAACATCAGTGGTCTAAATGCACTAAGTAAAAGACAGAATGTCAGAGTGGATCAAAAAATAAGACCAAGTATATGTTGTCTACAAGAAACCCACTTTAATATTAAGATACATATAGATGAAAAGTAAATGGATATAGAAAGATATAGAAGCATTAGACTAACCTTCAGAACACTGATTTTACTTTCATCTTTTATTTTTACTTTGCTTCATGATCAATTACATTACTTAACTGCCCACCAACATATATCTTTTCTTATTTTTACACTCTTCTTGAGTAGTTTATGGCTTTAACTACCACTTTAACATTAGTAACTTACAAGTCTGTATCTCCAGACCCTGATTTCTCTTACATTTTTGACTAGACGTCCAATTATATATTTATCTCCTGACCTGGATATTCCGTGAGGTTCTTATATTCAACCTGTCCAGAACTGAACTTACCATGTTCCCACCACACCTATTGCTCTTGTATTTTCATTTTCAATAACTAGGTCCACTACCCATTCAGCTGCTCAGCAAGAAAACTCTAAAGTCATCCAATTTTTCTTTTTCTCCCCCCCCCGTTTTTCTTATCTTACCAAATCTCCAAATCTTATTGATTCTGTTCTAAAATACCTCTGAAACCTGTCACTATGTCACCATTCTTTATACATGCAAGCACTTAATCATCTCTCAGCAGGATCTCTTGCCTGGATTTCCTGCCTCCTAGTCGTGTTGCTGATTTTCATCTTCTACATTGCTATCAGATGAGCAAGAACCTACTATGGCTGGGCATAGCAGCTCATGCCTATAATCCTAGCACTCTGGGAGCCCGAGGCGGGAGGATTGCTTGAGGTCAGGAGTTCGAGAGCAGCCTGAGCAAGAGTGAGATCCCATCTCTACTAAAAATAGAAAAAATTAGCCAGGCGTGGTGGCAAGCATCTGTAGTCCCAGCTACTAGAGAAGCTGAGGCAGGAGGATCCCTTGAACTCAGGAGTTGGAGGTTGCTGTGAGCTAGGCTGACGCCACGGCACTCTAGCCCTGGCAACAGAGTGAGACTCTGTCTTAAAAAAAAAATTGAAGGTTGGTGGCAACTCTGTGTCAGGCAAGTGTGTCGGTGTCATTTTTCCACATACCACGTGCTCACCTTATATCTTTCTGGCATTTTGGTAATTCTAGCAATATTTCAAATGTTTTTGTTGTCTATAATATTATGGCGATCTCTTTTCACTGATCTTTGTTGTTACTGTTGTACTTGTTGTGGGGTGCCATGAACTGTGCCCATATAAGGCGGCAAACTCAATCAATGTTGTGTGTGTTATGACTGCTGTCCTAACATTTTGTCACTCTCTCCTTGGGCCTCCCTAGTCCCTGTGACACAAAATATTGAAATTAGGCCAATTAACTCCACAATGGCTTCTCATGTGTTTAGGTGAAAGGAATAATGCACCATTTCTCACTTTAAATCAAAGAGTGAGAAATGGTGCATTATTAAGCAGTTATTAAGCTTAGTGGGGAAGGCATATCCAAAGCTGAGATAGGCCAAAAGCTGGCCTCTTGCAGGTAGTCAGCCAAGATGTGAATGCAAAGGAAATGTTCTTGAAGGAAATGAAAAGTGCCACTTCAGCAAATATATGAATGATAAGAGCAAAACAGCCTTAATGCTGGTATGGAGAAAATTTGAGTGGTCTGGATAGAAGAGCAAACCAGCCATAACATTCCTTTAATACGAAATCTAATCTAGAGTAAGGCCCTAACTCTCTTCAATTCTGGGAAGGCTGAGAGAGTTAAAGAAGCTGCAGAAGAAAAGTTGGAAGCTAGCAGAGGTTGGCTCTTGAGGTTTAACGAAAGAGGCCGTCTCTACAACATAAAAATGCAAGGTGAAGCAGCAAGTGCTGATATAGCAGCTGCAGCAAGTTATCCAGAAGATCTGGCTAAGATCACTGATGAAGGTGATTACACGAAACAACAGATTTTCAGTGGAGGGGAAACTGCCTTCTGTTGGAAGCAGTTGCCATCTAGAACTTTCATAGCTAGAGAGGAGAAGTCAGTGCCTGGCCTGAAAGCTTCAAAGGACAGGCTGACTCTTGTTAGGGGCTAATGCAGCTGGTGACTTTAAGTGGAAGCCAATGCTCATCAACCATTCTGGAAATCCTAGGGTCCTTAAGAATTATGCTAAATTCGCTCTGCCTGTACTCTATACATGGAATAACAAAGCCTGTATGGCAGCACATCTGTTTGTAGCATGGATTACTGACTATTTTAAGCCCACTGTTGAGACCTACTGCTCAGAAAACAGATTTTTTTTTTCAAAATATTACTGCTCATTAAAAATGCACCTGGTCACCCAAGAGCTCTGATGGATATATACAAGGAAATTAATGTTGTTTTCATGCCTTCTAACACAGTATCCATTCTGCAGCCCATTGATTAAAGAGTAATTTTGACTTTCAAGTCTTTTTATTATATTTAAGAAATAAATTTTATAAGACTATAGCTTCCATAGACAGTGATTTCTCTGATGGATCTGGGAAAAGTCAATTGAAAACCTTATGGGCCGGGCGGGGTGACTCATGCCTGTAATCCTAGCACTCTGGAGGCCGAGGCGGGAGGATCACTCAAGGTCAGGAGTTCGAAACCAGCTTGAGCAAGAGCAAGACCTCATCTCTACTATAAATAGAAAAATTAAAAAAAAATTAATTGGCCAACTAAAAATATATAGAAAAAATTAGCTGGCATGTGGCGCATGCTGTAGTCCCAGCTACTCGGGAGGCTGAGGCAGGAGGATTGCTTGAGCCCAGGAGTTGTAGGTTGCTGTGAGCTAGGCTGATGCCACGGCACTCTAGCCCGGGCAACACAGTGAGACTCTGTCTCAAAACAAAGGAGAAAACCTTCTGGAAAGGACTCATCATTCTAGATGCCATTAAGAACATTCATGATTCATGAGAGTATGTCAAAATAGCAACATTAAGAGGAGTTTTGGGAGAAGTTGGTTTGCACCCTCTGGAAGACTTTGATCTAGCCTCTAGATCAGGGGTCCTCAAACTTTTTAAACAGGGGGGCCAGTTCACTGTCCCTCAGATGGTTGGAGGGCCAGACTATAGTTTAAAAAAAACTATGAACAAATTCCTATGCACACTGCACATATCTTATTTTGAAGTAAAAAAGCCAATGGGCAAAAATACCCGCATGTGGCCCTTGGACCATAGTTTGAGGGCGCCTGATTTTGAGGGGTTCAAGAGTAGAGTGGAGGAAGTTACTGCAAACAGCAAGGGAACTAGAATTGCAAGTGGAGCCGAGGGATGTGACTACATTGTTGCAATCTCATGATAAAACTTGAATGGATGAGGACCTGCTTATGGATGAGCAAACAAAGTGGTTTCTTGAGATGGAATCTACTCCTGGTGAAGATGCTCTCAGCATTGTCAAAATGACAGCAAAGGATTTCGAATATTACATAACGTTAGTTGATTAAGCAGCAGCAGCGTCTGAGAGCATTAATTCCAATTTTGAAAGGAGTTCCACTGTGGGTCAAATGCTATCAAAACAGCATCACACGCTACAGAGAAATCTTTCTTGAAAGGAAGAGGAAATTGATGTGGCAAACTTTGTCGTCGTCTTATTTTAAGAAGTCGCCACGGCCACCCAACCTTCAGCAACCACTCTTGGCTCAGTGAGCAGCCACCAACAGTGACACGAGCCCCCCCCCCACCAGCACAAAGATCACGACTTGCTGAAGGCTCAGATGATTGTTAGCATTTCTTAGCAATAAAGTATTTTTGAATCAAGATATGTACATTTTTTAAAACATAATTCTATTGCACACTTAATAGACTACAGCATAGTGTAACCATAATTTTATATGCACCAGGAAGCCAAAACGTGTATGACTCGCTTTATTGCAATATCTGCCTTATGATGGTGGTCTGGAGCTGAACCTACGATGTCTCTGAGGAACACCTGTATTGCCTTCTGCCTAGAGAATCCCTTCCTCTCTCCTCTTGTCTGCTTGACAAGTTCCTACTCATTTTTCAAGTTTCAATTCAAGGATGTCTCCTCTGGCAGGCCTTCCCTAATTTCCCGTGGTTGACATAGGCATTTTTTTCTCCCAGTTTCCCAGCATACCTGGTACCCACCTGCATTCTTGCAGTCACCATACAATGTTATAATTGTTTATATGTCAATGTTTCCCTGGATCGGAAAGTCCATACGGAAAAGAATTGTGCATTGCATCTTTGTGTGTTTGGTTCCTAACATCCTATATTTTTCCAGCAATGAATGACTTGCTAATTGTTAACAACTTAGAGAGGTATTATTATTTTTTCAGGCTAAAAGGATGGTATTGAATATTCTGATACTATAGTGTGTTACATTTAACAATACCAGGAAAGACTTTGAGCAACTTGGAGAAAATTATTTTCACAGACAGTTTCTGGTAACTCTCTTGGTGCTTCTCTGTTTCAGCATTAATCAAGTCTGATCTGAGAAGACATAACATAAATATGGGAATTACAGACGCCGATATTAAAGCTGTAAGTAATGAATGTTTTTACAGTTACACCGTTGAGAAAAGTGTACATAGAATATATGTGAAACTCTCCTTTTTTTTGGAGACAGAGTCTCCTTCTGTCGCCCTGAATAGAGTGCATGGCGTCCTCATAGCTCACAGCAAACTCAAGCTTGCAGGCTCAAGCCATCCTCCTGCCTCAGCCTCCTGAGTAGCTGGGACTACAGGCATGCGCCACCACGCCCGGCTAATTTTTTTTATTTTTAGTAGAGATAGGGTCTTGCTCTTGCTCAGACTGGTTTCGAACTCCTGATCTAAAAAAATTCTCCTACTTAGGCCTCCCAAAGTGCTAGGATTACAGCTGTGAGCCACTGAGCCTGGCCATGAAAATCTCTTAAAAAAGAAAAGGAATATATGTGAAACTGACATTTTTTTGTCAACTGTTTTTTTCCCTGTATCATTTGATCTTTTATAATAGCATCTGCCATTTTTCTTCTGATTTTTTTTTTTTTAGGTGCCCGTTGACAGTCCCACAGATCAAGAATCAAAAGATGTTATGTTGTCCAAGCAGTCAGAATCAGCAATTTGAGGTGAAAGGAAAAGTCACTATCCTACAGTATTTGGGATAGAGTGTGATTATCCTTAGAGCACTAAGGTTGGATTTATAGGGGGGAGAGAATGGATACATACTTGAAAATTACTATATGAACTCCTAAAGGGCAGATAATATTTTGCTTGTTAATTTAAGCAATATTTTGTTTGAAATACTTTTGCATACATACTGTTAACACTACCATTTATCAAATAAGTGTCCCATTTCTAGTCTTATGTGAAAGTAAGCTTATATTGTATGAAAGTTAGCTTCTTGACATTTACTTTTCAAAAGTAGGTGATTTCCATTTTTTTTTTTGTAGAATATGGAAGCTTACAAGACTTTGTAAGATGATAATATGGGAGTTGATTCCCATAAGACACATAAGAGAATGTGAAGCTTATACATAAAAATATCCAATGGAACCAAATGTACAATATATTCCTAATTCGCTACCTTTCCATTCTGTTGACCAACTCTGCAAGCCCCTTCAAGTATGAGCACATACACAACATGACACTCCTAACCCACCAAAGGTCATCAGACTTCCAGATGACGTCTAAGATTCTTTCCCATTTCTTACACTCTTGTTACGAAGTGTGTTGTAACACAGACTGTCAGTGGCCACAAAAACCATTGTGTGTACAGATTCTACCCGTGACTTTGGTTTTAGAATTATGTTCTAATGAAGCTGTGGAGCCCAGATACAGGCTCAAGTATCTTGAGTTCTTTTCTGCGCTGCCTTGCTAATATGATGGAGAAATGCTAACACTGTATTTTTCACTCCAGCTTGAAATAGAGTAGTTTATTTACTCATTGCCTTTGTTTACTCTCTTCTTTGTTTCAATATATAACTTTAAAATAAGAAAATTTCATCATAGTTGTTACTGGCTGTTTCATGATTCCTCACGTCGAATCCTGTATATTACCTTGAAGATTCCTGAGATAAGGAAATTTATAATAACTTCAGACAGCCTGGTCTCCCCACTTAGTAGAGACCTCCTGAATGCTGTTTTAATTCTCCAGTGTCATTGTTATGACCATTCTCCTTGGAGGACACTATGCCCAAGTGCACACTCCATCAGTATCCTAGGAAGTAGAATCACTTCTTCACCCCAGAGTGGAATGCAGTCACCGCACTGGGGACAGTCTGCTCTTTCACATGCTCAGGGTAAGAAGAATAGGACCAAATATATTTCCACAGTGCCTACCACTGTGTGTCCTGTTTACAGTGAGAATTTAAATGTTGTTGATATCCTGATTCTCTAAGCTCATAGGGAATATCTTTACAAAACAGACATTTGATCAGCCATACACTTTACATTTTGTCCATATACACCAAAAAAGCCAGATATAGTGAATACCCTTGAAGTGAATAGCAATTTTGATTTAAGCAGAATAGATGCACTAATTTACATTGAAATTGTGGCAGTCTTTATAATCAAATAACTCTAAATTATGTAGAATCTGACCCCAGAGAATGTATGTTCCCAAAAGAATGGCTAAGAATCAGGAATTCTGTCTCCATGTCCTTGATGTGTTTCTATCTGTCTCTATAACTCTGGACAAGTTGTTTAACCTGTTTGGGCAGCATTTTCCTCATCTATAATATGTGTTTAGGTTGATCTCAAAAGATTTTTTAAAAACGTTAAATGTCATTCATCATGGACTAGACCAAGTCATTGTATCACAGGAGCTTAAATCTAGCTAGAGGAAAATTCTCTGGACAGTTGGATAAAAAGCTATGATTGTTACATTGTTGAATACAAAGGACTTTTAATTCTCTTTTTAGCTTTGTTAGTCATTTGGAAATATGCCCAATCATTAGCTTCTTTTAATATTTACATTACAGGTAAAAATGGCTAAAAATGTATTTTAAAAGTCTATCCCAAATAATTGTTTTTATTTTTAAACTGTCAATGTTTTTTAAAATAATCATGTATTTGTTGACTTCCTGGGGTTTTAAACAAATTACAGATAAAAGTTGGAATACTTTATTTCTGCAAAGCATATACATGTGTGTCATATGTATATTTCCTTGTTGATGAGAAAAAGGGTGAAATATTATGTGATAAAATGCAAAATGAATTTTTCTGTATTTTGAGTGGAAGTTGTCTGTAATATGTTATACAAGACAGTCATGTGTCATTTAACAACGGAGATGCCTTCTGAGAAATGTACTGGTAGGCGATTTCATCATGGAGTGAACATCATAGAATGATAGAATGTTCTTATGTAAACCTTGATGGTATAGCCTACTACATATCTCGGCTATATGGTGTCACTTTTTGCTCCCAGGCTGCAAACCGGTACAGCATGCTACTGTACTGAATATTGTAGGCAATAGTAATACAATAGTATTTGTGTATCTAAACATATTTAAACATAGAAAAGATAATGTTGCACTGTGTTGTAACAACAGCTATGACGTCACTAGGCAATAGGAATTTTTCTGCTCCATTATAATCTTATGGGGCCATTATTATAGACGTGGTCTGTCATTGATCAAAACATCGTTATGTAAGGCTGGGCGCGGTGGCTCACGCCTGTAATCCTAGCACTCTGGGAGGCCGAGGCGGGTGGATTGCTCGAGGTCAGGAGTTCGAAACCAGCCTAAGCAAGAGCGAGACCCCGTCTCTACTATAAATAGAAAGAAATTAATTGGCCAACTAATATATATATATATAAATTAGCCGGGCATGGTGGCACATGCCTGTAGTCCCAGCTACTCGGGAGGCTGAGGCAGAAGGATTACTTGAGCCCAGGAGTTTGAGGTTGCTGTGAGCTAGGCTGATGCCACGGCACTCACTATAGCCTGGGCAATAAGCGAAACTCTGTCTCAAAACAAAACAAAACAAAAAAAAACATCGTTATGTGACACATGACTGTATGTTTTTGGAAAATGGAGTAGGTAATCATCACTGTGTACATTTTAATCAAATAATTTTAGGAAAGAAACTGGATGTTTCCAAAGCTGTTGCATTTATAAATGTCACAAATATAGCTTTTGCCTTTTGAGAAATGTCTTTAAAAATGTTTGTATGTAAAAATGTTTTTATGCAATAGCTAGAAGAATGCCTATGTCATTAAGTCACTGTTCATGTTTTGATTTTTGCTTTGTACTGTGCTTGTTCAGTATTTCAGATTCAAAGTAAATTTATTTTTTTATGTTAATTTTGTTTGGCTTTCTTTTTTTTTGTTTTGTTTTAAGTTCTGGTAGTTAGGTACACATGGGGAGTGTGAAGGGATTAGAAGATTTCAGAATGGGCAAGGGGAGAATGAGGCAGTTCATGGAACACAAGGAAGCCAAGTCAACCAGGGTCTGGGCTAAAACAGAAAGTAAAATATTTTATTCTTTTAAAAGTAACTTCAGGGTGTGATATAAGCAAAATGGCAGAATAGGATCTTTCTGCCTCCATCCTCCTGCAGAAGCATCGATTTTGACAACTACCTTCAGAAAACAGTACTTTTGTCAAAATCTAGAAGTCCAAGGTGGAAGTTCCAGCACACTGTTGCAGTGATGATATCTGAGAATAGGTGCATTGACGAAGGTAAGAACTGTTTCCCTTTACCCCTGTCACCCCTCCTCAAAGGTGGCACAGCGTCGTGCCAAGAGAGATCCCCTCAGCCTGTAATTTCCCCCGCAAGGGACAGTGGGAGCACAGTGAGGGAGTGCTTGGCCCCCCCAGCTGTGTGGGGTGCTGCCCAGGAGGCCCCCCTCTTCCTTGCCCCAGTTGGAATGTCGAGGCTGTGGGTATGGCCGAGTGTTGGGAAAGGCTGGGAGCTGGGAAGAGAGGTCTTGAAACCTACTAACTGCCCCCCAGACTGCATTAGGAAGCTGTCCACGAGCCACTGGGATGCCTTGCCTGTGGACACCCCACTGCCCCACATGGCCCATGGGCACCTCAGATGCTCCACACACCTCACTGTCCATCCCACCCCCCGTGCTGGCTCCCTGAGCACGCCCCTGTGGACAGTGATTGCAAGCATCTAACACAGACAGCCCGCTTGACCGTGGCATTGGAGGGAGGCACATAAACTTCAATAGTTCAGGGCATCACCTTAGGGAAAACAAACAGGAGGCTCTCGACGCCCAGCCTGCTTTTGTGTGATTGAGAGAAGGTGTACAATCTTAAGAAACCCTCCTTCCCTCGCCAAGAGGGAAACAAGAGGTGTGGGTCAGGTGACTCCATAGAACAGGTGTGAGAGAACCTCAAATTCCCTAGCCAGGCTGGCAGGCGAAGGCATTTCTCTCCTGAAGCCAGTCAGTAAAGACTGCAGGAGATGACTGCTTCTCTGAATGCAAAGACAGAAATGGAAGAATTCAAGGAAAACTAAAAACTTAAGGAAACATGATACCACCGAAGGAACACACTACTATTCCATCATAGCTCACTGCAACCTCAAACTCCTGGGCTCCAGCCATCCTCCTGCTTCAGCCTCCCTAGTAGCTGGGACTATAGGGGTGAGCCACCACTCCAGGCCAATTTTTCTATTTTTAGGAGAGACAGGGTCTCATTATTATTGCTCAGGCTGGTCTTGAACTCCTGAGCTCAAGTCATCTTCCCACCTTGGCTTCCCAGAGTGCTAGGATTACAGGCGTGACCCACCGCACCTGGCCCTGTAGTGAGCATTAGATTTAAGCAGAAGGCACACAGTAGGTCCTCAAGCAATCAAATCCGTTATTACTCTCATGTTAAGAAACAGTGTGAATAGGGAACTTGCTGCTGATAACACACACTTGAGAAGCAGTTGCCTGATTTGGGAGAAAATGTTAAGTGCTTAAGTGTTTTAACTTGCCATTATTTATTAATATAAGCATCTGCCAATAAAATCATTACTTTCCAAAGCATTTAGTAACTTTCCTGTGCGTGTGGGTGCAGAAACTGGGCATCGTGCAAAGAAAATGAAACAAATATGAATTCAGAAGAGATCTGAGTGCAGGTGAGATCTGGGCCAATGGGTCAAGGGACTTCGGCTGCAGAAGAGTTGCTCTTTTCATCTCAATGACGTATGAAGGACGGGAAACAGCCTCAAGTGTAATTGCGATTTCATTTGCATATTAAACCAGTCTCAGCTAAATGAATAAAGCTCCGACAGCCTCAATTATCCAGGAAGACTGACTAGGTGAGGCTTTGGACCTTTTTGCGTCCCTGAAATGACTGTGCTTTTTGGCCGGCAAGTGGCTCTCACTTTTTCCTAAGCACTGAAGACCTAGCTAGACCCATAGGTGGCCCAGTGCCTGCAGGGAGCCATTTCCGCTTCCCCAGTGGGGACAGCACGCCCTCTGCTGGTCATTCTATGAACGGTTTCAGACTCATTGCTGACGTTTTGGGGGATTGCTGGGGGCCGGGTATTGAGGATGGAGGACAAGGACGTGCCGGTTCATTTCAGCCATATATCTCCAGACCTGTAGGAATCACGTTCCCCAGACATGCATGTGAGAGCACACACACAGAGACACGCACCGTGTTAAATGAATTGAGGCCTCCCACTGCCTGGACAGAAGCACCAGGCAGTGGTGAAGCATCAGCAAATTTTTAGATTTCTAGCGACACAGCCAAGCCACATAACGGGACAGTCTGTGTGGGAAACAGCCCGGCGACTCAGCTTGACGAGAGGCAGGGGAAGTCCCTCTGGCCCCTTCTCCAGGCCGCTCGGGTGGCACAGTGCCGGGCTTCGTTCCCCAGTGACACCCTCGTGCTTCCCGGTTCCCTGTCTCTGCTCAGAAAGGCAGGGTGTGGTGGGCCAGCGCGGGACACGACGGAACGCGACATGTCTCGGGCCAAAGGATGTGAGCATGGTGTTAGCCGTGGAGCCGTGAGCCGGTGCCTCAGAGTCCCCGGAAAAATCTGTCGGAGCACAGTAGGTCTGCAGTGGGGCCCAGGAATTTGTCTTCCTAGCAAGTTCCCAAGGGGAGCCGCTGCCCTGCCCCCACTGCCCTGCCACCCGACCTCCAGCTGGCCTGGAAAGAGGATCTGGCTGTTCTCTCTACTCTGATGGGCAGCTTTTGTATTAATATTTCCCCCTGGGAAGAGGAACAATGTACAGATTTGGTTTCTCAAGACACCCACCACTCTGAGCCTGCAGGTGGCAGATACAGGCCAGGAAGGGCTGCTCCAAGGGGTAGAGAAAGGGGAAGGAACTGCAGGAAGATACAGAACACCTGACAATCATGGTTAGCAATCAGCTGGTAACATCCCACACCTGCGGTAAGCCCGTCCCCATCAGACTACTAAAAGGAAACCACCTGGGAGGCCTTACACCAAGGGTCCTCAAAATACCTCTGGCAGGCCACATGTGGCCCGCCTAGGACATTTATCCGGCCCGCCGGGTGTTTTTGCTGCTGCTGCCTGTCCTGCTTAGCAGCCGACTTGGCCCGCAGTGCGCATGCGTGGAATGTGCCCGCACTCTCCACCGGTCTGAGGGACAGTGGACTGGCCCCCTGTTTAGAAAGTTTGAGGACCCCTGCCTTACACTATGGAGACTGACCCCGTCTCCCTCTGGAATGTATTTTTGGTGTAGCTTCCTTCTTTTCTACAATGAGAGCTGTCCGCGTGGAAGAGCTTCTTCCTGTCTGCGCTCACTCCGTCACGCCGGCCCTGCTTGCCATTCTTCCAAGCAAGGAGCCAAGGAACCAGGACATTTCCCTTCCGAAAAGTCCCAACCCTGACCAGGGTGCCGCCGTGCCTGTCGGGGGAGAGACACAGGTGGTGCCTAAGAAGACTTCAGCTGTCCCCAGCCCTGGGGACGGGCAGGGCCAGGCTGTTCCTAGAGCACGTCTGGCTGTCGCTTCCTCCCCTCCCCTCCCTTCCCCTCCCCTCCCCTCTGGACCGATTCAGCGACTCAGCATGGATTTGAGAAGGGAGTAAAGCACTATGAGGAAAGGACAGTTGGAAAACCCGGCCTCTAGGTGAAAGCAACTTCCTGTCGAGTGGAGACAGCCAGACTCCCCTGCACTCTGTGGCTGGCGACTGCCACTAAGTGCGGAAGCAAGTCCCCACCCCCGCTGGTTTGGAGAAGAAACAGGGGAGGACAGAAGAGGCTGTGCCCCAGACGCTGGACGGGAAATCCACCCCTTTAAGCAGAAAATTCCTAGGCCTCAACCTGTGACCCTCCTGCGTGTGAGAGAGCGCAGGCGCAGGCGGGAAGAGAGACACTCCCAGTCTTGATGTTTTTGCTCCGGGAATCCCCCGGTGAGTCCAGGACTGCCACGCTGGGTCACAATCACACAGGACACCCACCACTCCCCTGAATTACGCACTTCTAGAACTATCAATGACGGATTTGACCAACCCTTTTCTTGCCTGGTTTTTGTCTTCCCTGTATTATTTATAAGGATAATGAGCTTTATAAGGACTTTTTCTTCTTCTCTTTAAATTATCTCTTAAAATTCAATATCTCCTCTGAGTTTCTATCCCACATGTTAATTATGGGATTTGTTCATTTATTCATTCGACAAACATTTAATAGCACTTTGGGCCAGGAGTTGGGGTTGCAGAGCCAAGCAAGACCTGGTGCTAGCAGCTCTTATAGCGAGTGAGGACAGACACATGGGGAACTTCAGTGGCGAGGAAGCTGAGAGTGACAGGG